CAGGGGGGCAGTTGGAGGTGACCAGGCTGGCAGAGGGGCAGTTGGGGGCAACCAGTAACTAGGCCAGCAGGGGGGGGGAGTTGGAGGTGACCAGACCAGTGGGGGGGACAGGGAGGGGTGATCAGGTTGGCAGGGTGGGGGCAGTTAGGGGTGACCAGGCAGGTGAGCAATTAGGAGCCAGCGGTCCAGGATTGTGAGAGGGATGTCCGACTGCCGGTTTAGGCCCAATCCCCGGAGATCCTGGATTGGAGAGGATGCAGGCTGGGCTGAGGGGACCCCCCACCATGCACAAATTTTGTGCACAGGGCCTCTAGTAGAAATATAAAAGTGTACCTGTGTGTAGGGTAGTTCTGTCTTAAAAAAGTTAGGACTAACAATTTGCAACCTATGAAAATGTAAATGTGAATTTCAAAAGATTAGGGACAGTCACAAATTGCAGATGAGCATGAGACTTTTCAAGACTGATACTTCTATGAGGAGAAAAAGAGTATGTAGAGGCACTTCTTTACATGCTTACTCATGTCCAAAGCCATACCAACTTCAGACCCATCTATTCTCAAAGCAATAGGTAGTGGTTAATTGTGGGGGTTACAATCTGTAGTTTTAATTTGTCCACAGTATAGCCAAGGGGTTTAATAGTCAATGGACTGTAACAATCCTAGTTATATGTCCTATTGCAAGTGAATAGTGAGTGCAGGCTCTAACTGGGAACCTGGGCTGGCTCTAGGAGCTCCCTAACAGAGTGAGAAACCTGCTGTTTATCCCAAGGGTCTCCTTGTTATAAAACTCCTTTTGTGTACATTGGCAAACCTGTTTCATTTTCTAGTTTTCCACATTTACACAGCATCTCAGATTAGAATCTCATTAGTCAGCCCTGCTCCCTGATGGCTGTTAACTTTGATTCTATCTTTAATTCCTCAGCCATGATTAGTTTCACCAACAGTGAGGATCCAGGGGAGTGATGGGAAAGGGCGTATTAACTATTAAATACTGCCAATCACTTCCACGTGAATTCAACTTCTGAGACTTGAGCTTTACTCCTCTGCCTCCTGGCAGATGGCCTGCTCATGCAGAGAACAAAAACAACATACTTTCCCCTCAATACTAACATGGGGTCATGGATTCACAAATAAATTCCACAGATCACTCTCTACAAGTCAAAAGTCCATTCTCCATAGAAAGAGGTTATACACTGAACTTGGAAATTTTTCAATTTCTGCTGTTTCACATGACATAGGAGATTTTCCCTCTCCCTCAACTTAGCCATCTCAAGACTATTGATTTTGGATCTATCCATGGTATCCTAAGTCTTCAAAATATATTTTTCCAAATTTTCAATTCCAACTTCAGTACTATCATTAAAATATCTCTTTAAATTTATACATTTTTTCTAATAATTATCATGGTTAGGATTAATTGATCCCCCTTTTTTTCAGTATTGTTGAAACAATTTTAGCATTCATGGTGAAATGAATTCTTGTTTCCAATTTAGTGTGATGATTTTATTTTATTATTTTTTAAAATATATTTTTATTTATTTCAGAGAGGAAGGGAGAGAGATAGAAACATCAATTATGAGAGAGAATCATTGATCGGCTGCCTCCTGCATGCCCCACACTGGTGATTGAGCCCACAACACTGGGCACGTGCCCTGACCGGGAATCGAACCGCTACCTCCTTGTTCATAGTTGCTCAACTACTGAGCCACGCCAGCTGGGCAGTGTGATGATTTTAATACGAAGTTCAAGGCCATCCCTTAGAAACAAAATTATAAACTAGCTCACTCCTGCCCTTAGTTATAATTCTCATTAAGCCCAAATACTATATGGTTTATTATTGAAACAATGTTATATTTAAAAACAGGTTAAATGGCAAAGAAAACTAGGAAAAAATTTTATTCTTTTGAAAGACCTTAAAGTTAATTTAAATACACCTTGCACAAAATCAATTATTAAAGTAATGTTGCCTCTGCTACCATCCCTATACCACAGTTACTCTGTACAACCTACACCTTTCTACATATACTTCATATTTATTCCCAGGCTATAGCACTTTTATTTCTCATGTCTACACCTCTTTCTCAGTACTTTCTTATATAATATTTTAGTCTATATAAATAAACTATTTTAGGAAGGTTTGTAGTATACATAATAGTATCATAAATGTTGGACACATTAGTAGTTATTTTTGAGGCAACATGTAAAAGAAACTCATATATTCTACAGCTCAGAAAGTGTTAGAGTAGGATTAATATTATTCAACAATTTTTAAAATATGTTTTTATTGATTTTAGATAGAGAGCAAGGTATATATATATAGAGAGAAACATCAATTGGTTGCCTCCTGCTACATTAGTAGTTATTTTTGAGGCAACATGTAAAAGAAATTCATATATTCTACAGCTCAGAAAGTGTTAGGGTAGGATTAATATCATTCAACAATTTTAAAAATATATTTTTATTGATTTTAGATAGAGAGCAAGGTAGAGAGAGAGAGAGAGAGAGACATCAATTGGCTGCCTCCTGCACACCCCTACTGGAGATCAGGCCCTCAACCCAGGCATGTGCCCTGACTGGGAATGGAACCTGTGACCTTTTGGTGCATGGAATGACACTCAACCAACTGAGCCACACCAACCAGGGCATTATTCATTATTTTTAAGGTAAGAAATAAGATACAAAGAAGCATCTAATATCACACAACTAGTCTTGGTGCAGCCAGAATTTGATCAAAAGGGAAAGTGACTCCAGCATCAAGCTCTACATCATTAAACAAGCAGAGACAAATAGCAGCCACCAGAAATGGTAGTTTTGATGTTGGTTGGACTATGATCTCCATGCCACCTTCCAATCTAATGGAAATTTCTTCAAGAAAATATATTACCAAAATTTGAAAGGTAAAAGAAAAATTTTAAGAAGCATTTCCAGAATTAGTAATCTATATTCAAACAATGAAGATCAATTTTTAAAAAAAAATTCATGGAGGGAATAACAATAATACTATGAGAGGCCTTTGATAAAAATGGAATAGGAGGTTGAGACAGTGAAGTTAAATGTGTAGCCAAATGAAATATATTTTTTTCAATGCAGCCTTTAGGAAGGTAAGTCAAATCTTTTTCTATTTCCATCATTATTAAGGGCAAGCTCTTAACAGTCAGGTCAACTTTTAATACATTCTCATGTTTCCCAACTGAAGTTATAACCAAAAAAGCAAAGATATATCGCCCCATACAATTAGGAAAAGGTGGGAGAAAAGATAGCTTGCATATCCCTCCTCTAGTGGGCCATGAAGCAGAGTCCTTGTCTCAACTAATCAAATTACTCTCAAGCAAGCCCCAAAGTTAAAGCTAACGGAAAACACCTACTTCTCCTTCCCTAGACAGCATCACACGAATCCTAGCCAAATATCTGATATTAAAAGAAAAGTAGAATACATTTGAAAGTGTTCTATTACATCTAGGCTTATATTTATAAAAGAGCGGAGCTTTTCCTGCTCTGATTTCTATGACTCATTGTTGAAAAACGGTGCTAGAGATACGGAGCAAACGCAAACAAAAAATTTCAAAGAACTTATTATGATAAATGACACATGCAAAAGTTACATTTAGACAGTGACTAGGCCCAAAGGAATCCAGCCTAGGACAAATGCAAACAATGTGGGGGTTTTCTATCCCTAATTCCTTTGACAAAAATGACAAAATACGGTTCTTTCATGTAATGACAGGGAGAAATAGGAAGCTTGAGAACATAGACTACCTTGTTGCATAGAAATGGAAATGGTGCCCATATATATATTTTAGATGGGCCATTTTATTTGAAAAGCGTCTCTGGATCTTTGCTTACAAGAATGGGAAGGCTAAGAAAGGTAAAATGAGGGGAGAAATACAATAGTTTCACCTTCTAACATTTTTGACAGACAAGGTTGTCTAAAGGCTAATTTGAAATTCAGTTAGCACATGCAGGGAAAAAACACGCAAGCAAATGTATTTCTAAACAGAATGCCAAAAGGATGTTGCTAGCACATTTGTAAATTTCCAATTTTTTCTTACTACACTTATCCAACAACGCAAACAAATCAGTTTAAATACAACTTCTTTTACTAATGCCTCTTGAAGCATCACTGCAGTCAGATTGAGTCAAGGAACCATCTGCTGCAAATACAAATAGAGCTACATTCAAGAATTATATTACACAGCCTTCCTAGCTAAGTTCTTACGTGCAAGCTGTTCTTGTCAAAATCAGAACCATTGTGATGATGCATCTTAATAGTCAATCAGACTTTAAGTAAAGAGTGACAAAAGTCCACATATGGATGACAGCTGTTTCTTCAGTAAATATTTTCCCATTTATTGAACGGAGGCTTATGGCAGTCTAGGATATGTTCCATCAGACATTTCAGCCTGAACTGCCTGGGGATGATTCAAGCAATAAGGATAAAATTCAGTTTTCACATCTTTGCTACAACTTACATCTGAGAAAACAACAGATCCTCCAAGAAAGTTGTACACTATATCATCAATCTGACAGTATCCCTGACTAATACTGATGAAGACAGACCTGAATTGATGACTCTACTTTTTTGCCCCTCCCCCTGGAATAATAACATTTGTAAAATTTAAGCAAAATCCATGTATTGACTTTCTAATCAAATAAAAAGTTGATGGGGATTTAAACATTTATGACTAATTTTGATGAATTATTAACTATTAGAAAAGATTAATGAGCCTTTAGCTAAAAGGAGCTCAGATAAGATCTCTTTTTAACCAAGAAAATGGCTTGTAAAATTAGAAAGTCAATAAAAATGTGCAAATGTTTGTTTCTCAGCATCTGCATGGTAAATGACACTCTTTTCTTTCTTCCTTTAATGCAGTTGTTAAAAATCAACATTTAAAAAAATATTGAGCCTGTAGTCTTATATTCCGCAACTGTCATCAGACTCTGATCTTTTTTAAAAAAATAGAAATTATTTCAGATCTAACACTAAAAACAAGAATGTCTTACCCTGCTATTGGATCTACGGCTATTGCCTTCGGATTATGAAGCTCCAGATCAATCAGGGTGACACACACAGACCCGTTGTAATTGCAAACAAAGATCCGGTCACTGACATGGTCCACAAAGTAGAGATTTCTGGTGAGCCAGTCAATCGCCATGTGCTCCACATCTGAAAAAAAACACACACACAAAATCATTGAATCACAGGTGCAAATCAAGTATCATGAGCCATAGGTCTGCCCAAACCATCACAGAGGACATTTTGGGAGTATAGATTGTTTTATGATAAAAAAAAAACTGCAAAGAAAAATTTGTTGTTATGCCAAAATAAGTGATTTAAGTATTCTTTAAAAAAGAAAAACAAACAAACAAACAACAAAAACAGTTTCTTGATAACATTCTTCTTGCTATCTAAGGACTGAGGATGACCTAGACCAGTGATGGCAAAACTATGACACACGAACTCATTTTTTTGGTTGATTTTTCTTTGTTAAATGGCATTTAAATATATAAAATAAATATCAAAAATATAAGTCTTTGTTTTACTATGGTTGCAAATATCAAAAAATTTCTATATGTGACACGGCACCAGAGTTAAGTTAGGGTTTTTCAAAATGCTGACATGCTGAGCTCAAAAGGTTTGCCATCACTGGTCCTAGACCCAAATGGATGAAGAGTTTGTGAATCCTAAAATATAGGTATTATAATAAAATTTTACTAGTTTTTGCATTTGCCCAAAATTGTTCATTCAACACAATTGTCATAACTGGCTCAATGGCAAAGCTGAATTCTTTAGTAGTAAGAAGGGTGAACATTTTTTGTGAACTTAAAGTAAATCCTTATTTTCAGATCCTTTTCTGTTACAAAAAGGAAGGATGGAGAAGATGGAAGAGGAGATCTATAAGATCCTTTGTTTACAAAATGTTTCCAAAACTTGGAAGTAAAGCAAAAGGAGGGGTGGAATGTTCTTTCAACGCATGTGTAGGCATTGTGAAACAGGCCTGCTCAAAGATTAATTAATTATCTAGAAGAATGATGTTCAGTAGTACTTGCTGTGATGATAGAAATACTTTATATCTGTGCTGTTCAGTAAAGGAGCCACTAGCCACATGTGTCTAGTGAGCATTTAAAATGTGGCTAATATAACTGGGACACTTAATCTTTACTGTATTTCATTTTAATTAATTCAAATTTAAATATTAAAAAATGTATGTTGCTAGTGGCTGCTATAGATTGTGCAACTCTTAAAAAAACATGTTTGATTTGAATATTTTCTGTTTGATCAGATTGTGAAATTTCATGCTAATTAGATTTTTTCTGGTAAAAAAAAAAAAAAGATAATCCCAAAGGTCATGGTTTTATTACACAAACCATTAACCATTTTTAAATCTAAACTATAAATCTTATTTAAAAACTAGTGGCCCAGTGCACGAATTTGTGCACAAGTGGGGTCCAGCCAGCCTGGCCCAAGTCTGGGCAGATTGGGGCCAGGCCTGTCGGGAGGAGGAGATGGCCGGAGGTTGGCTGACCAGCCCACCCTGATCAGGCCGATCAGGACTGGGCCAGCTGAGGGGAGGAGCCACGGGACAATTGGGGTGGTGGGGGCTGATTGGGAGTGGGGGCCGGCTGTGGGGAGGGCCACGGGCGATTGGCCAGCCAGCCCTGCCCCTGATTAGACTGGGGGGGCCGATCAGGGGTGGAACTGGCTGGGGGAAAGGCTATGGGCCAATTGGAGTGGTGGGGCGGGGGCGGGAGCTTGGGGGAGGGGCCACGGGAAGTTGGCCGGCTGGCCCCACCCCCAACCAGGCTGGTTTGCTGGCCGCAGTGGGTATTATAGCAACCAGTCATTATGGTCATTACGGTTGTTACAGCGTTCCAGTCGCTGGCTTTTTATGTATATAGATTCTTTTCCTTTAAAATAGCTATAAGTATTTTATTCTACTAATGCTCTTAGAGCAGCAATATTGGGCTGGTTCCTTCAATAATGCCTTAAATAAATACATTTTTGATTTTTATTCATTTCTAAATTTTATGAGTCTTATTTTTATGTATGGAAAATATACTTTGATGCATCCTTGTTTGAACTCACTATGATCTATGATTCATTGACTAAGAAGTATTTCCTTCTTCAATATGAACCTAAACACTTCTCCAACTCTATGCTTCAAAAGAATTCCTTAGTAACATGTTGCTTCAGTTGTTATTTTCTCAACAGAAAGACTAATGGAGATGCATGTGCAATCATCCTATCTAATAAAGAGGGAATATGCTAATGGACTGCCCTGCCCTCAAAGATGGCGGCACCCACAGCCACAAGATGGCAGTGCCCAGTCCCCTCAGCCTTGCCAGGGCAGCAGGTGCACAGCAAGGCCAAGCCTGCGCCAAGGTGGCCCGGCTGCTCTGCATGTACCTGCCTCCGGAGTTCTCCAGTCCCCTCAGCCCCCAGCCGCCCAGAGCCACCGGAGGCACAGGTAATCAGGGCCAGCCGAGACTTGAGCTGCTGGCAGTGGCAGCAACAGAGGTTTGATGGGGCATCGCCTTCCCCTGATCACTGGGTTGCCTCCTGCCCCTGAGGGCTCCCGGGCAGTGAGAGGGGGCAGGTCAGGCAGAGGGACCCCCCCTCCAGCGCATGAATTTTCATGCACCGGGCCTCTAGTTATTATTTATAATGGTATATTGTCAAAGCAAAACAGAGAGAACATTGACTTTGTGGGAATGTTTACCATGCTTTATAAGGACAAACAGAAAGTGGATATTGTATTAATTGGAAACACATTTTCAAACAAGTGATTACAGTTTCATTCCTAAATTACACAGTCCTTACAGAAGTATAAGCATTTAAATGTTTCACTCACCACATGAAACTTTTTTCTCAACCAGTTCAGCAACCAGAAGTTTTATTATTTATTTTTTTTTTTTTTATTTATTTATTTATTTATTTAAATTACACAGTCCTTACGGAAGTATAAGCATTTAAATGTTTCACTCACCACATGAAACTTTTTTCTCAACCAGTTCAGCAACCAGAATGTTTATTATTTATTTATTTATTTATTTATTTATTTATTTTTCATCTTCACCCAAGGATACTTTTCCATTGATTTTTAAAGAGAATGGAAGAGAGCAGGAAAGACAGAGAGAAACATCCATGTGAGAGAAACACATTTATTGGTTCCTCCTGAACAGGCCCTGGCCAGGGCCAGGGCTGAGGCGGAGCCTGCAACCAAGGTATGTGCCATTCACCAGAATCTAATCCAGGACTCTGTCCAAAGGGCGGCATTCTATCCACTCTGCCAAACCAGCTAGGGCAGCTAGAAGAATTTTTAAAAATATGAACTATTTCTCTGTCTCCAGAAATCTGTAACTGTAAGCCTTGTTTGGTTTGGTAATCTTTTTGTATTATTATATCAGCTACAGCACAGAACCCACTGTTTCCAATGTCATTGTACATATCTTGGATTCAGGTAATGTGACAGAGTATGTTCAATGACCCATCCCTCATGCTAGGCATGCAGTTGGTTTAGTATATGCACTTGTAATTCCAGACAAAAGATCTGTTTGACAGCATTTACACCTTCTTTCAACTCAGTATCATAACAACTATCCAAGCTTGAAGGGGCAAGGTCTCACTAAATAGCCTGATAATTAGCAAACACTTAGTCATTGTAGGAATTGGTTTAGTTTCTTATATTTGAAGTTTCTGTCTGATCTTAATGAAATCTTTATTAAGATTGGAAAATTAAGGCAATTAGAGTTCAAGTAAACTGATAAATAGATGATAGATAGATAGATAGATAGATAGATAGATAGATGATAGATAGTTAGATGATAGATAGATAGGCAAGGTCTCACTAAATAGCCTGATAATTAGCAAACAGTCATTATAGGAATTGGTTTAGTTTCTTATATTTGAAGTTTCTGTCTGATCTTAATGAAATCTTTATTAAGATTGGAAAATTAAGGCAATTAGAGTTCAAGTAAGCTGATAAATAGATGATAGATAGATAGATAGATAAATTTGGCTAAAATGATTTGAACATTTTAGGAGAGAGGTGATTTTTTCTAGAAAATAGATTTAGCATTTCATTTTCATTTTCTGATATATAACAAAGTTCACCAGAAATTGCTGAAGATAGCTATAATTGTTTTATGACATTATATTACAAAATAATTTCTAAGTTTTTTGTAGTAAGACCTCTATTACTTCATTGTTACTAGAATAGCTTTAAATATATTCTCATTATTATGTTTTCTAGTTAGCTTTTATGCATTCTGCAACCAAAAGTCACTCAGATTTCATCCTTACTGTTCTCTTGAAATGGCTCTTATTATGGTCACTCAGAATTTCTTAATTGCCAAAAGCAAAGGTTACTTTTCCATTCATATCTACAAAATAATCTCAATATAAATATTGTGAAAATTTAAATAATATTGAAAGTATTTTGAATATGATAAAGTTATTATATAAATATAAGTAACTATTAACAATTTCTAAACAATATTTTCTTAGGTCTAAACATTTAAAGTTTTACCCAGTGGAAATTAAAAATTCATGATAAAAGTAAGCACAACAACAACAAAAGAAGACAAATTCTTATGATAATCTGTAATTGATATAATCTATAATTGAATTAATTGAATAACATTTTATATGGTTACATGACATTTTTTGGGTGCATAAAGCAGGTAACTAATTACCAGAGTTGGTGAATATAGAACTTAAACATTTTTAATGTACCAAAATATATGTATACTTAGTGCTATGGACTCATTTCCTTCAAAATTTATATGTTAAAGTCCTATCTCCCAGTACCTCAGAATGTAACTGCATTTGGCAATAAAATCTTTGAAGCAATAATTAATTTAAAACAAGGCCATTAGGGTAGGCCCTAATCCAATCGGACTGGTGCCCTTATAAAATTAACAGAGTAGGACATACAGAGAGAGACCAGAGGCAAGGCCATCTGCACACCCAGGAGAGACACCTCAGAGAAGCCCAGTCCTGCTGGCTCCTTGGCCTTGGGCTTCCAGCCTTCAGACTGTGAGAAAATGGATTTCTGTGGTGGAGCACTCAGTCTGTGATATTTTGCTATGACAGGTCTAGCAAAATAATATACCTACTCAAGTATAAAATAATGCGGTCCTTGCCATAAATGATTGAGAACAAAA